ACTTTGTTCGGGACGTTATATGATGCCCGACCCTAACCCTTGACTCTGTCCCCCACTGTAAACTCATTCCTACGCGAGTAAACATGCTGGCGAGTATACAAGACTCCACTTGCAGCGTGGCATAAGCGAACCACGCTGGTCCAATTCAAGTTGAAGGGGATGGCCAAGGACCAGTTTAGATAACGCCCCTCCCCCGACCTCCGGTGATGGACACTGCGATCATCGGAAAGTGTTAACCGTATAATAATCTCAAAAAACATGAGCAATGCCAAGAGCACAAGTTTAACAAGCAACTTCTGGAGCGATGATGTTAGTTAGCAATTCGCTAGAGGCGCCAGTGGCGAGATGTTAAACTATTTGCATTGTATGAAGGTCATGGTTTTGTTCCTGACTGACATCTGCTGTATATTTGGAGTTTGCATGTCTCTATCCCAGTGGTCGCGTGGATTTTTCTCTGGGTCCTCCGCTTTTTTCCCCTCCACGTTTATAAACATGCGTTTAAGAGTATTTGGCTGCAATAAATTTCAATGTGATAAGCCACTTCATGGAGCTATCATTTAGGGCCAGGTCGTTTCTGAAAAAAAATAACTCTAACTTAGTGGGCCTTACCGGGTGAAATAAAAAACAGCTCAAAGTTGAGTCCGCAAGCAACTCGCACGAATCCCGAACAGTCCTCACGAACAACACGCGTGAGTGTACAAATCGATTCCAGTGAGCGAATCGCCACTTGGGACAGTGGTTGAGCATCGGCCTCTGCTGCACGCTGGCACTGACGGGAGCGCGTCGGGACTCCCCGCCACGGCGCCACTCGACAACGGCGTGCGCAGCAAGAATGATCGCTATTCACAGCGCCGTGACGTCGGGGGGGGGGGGAAGGCGAACATCTGCTGCGGCTGACCGCCACTCGCCCAGATAAGGCAACTGCGGCGAAAATGGAAGGAAGCGGTGGGCCGATTTCTCTCCAACTCCTTTCCCTTCCCGCCCGACTACCCACCCTCCCTCCCCCCCCCTCTGTCTATGTGCATCTCATTTATTATATTCTCTATGAATATAAACACAGCGCAAGTGGGGCTGAAATTACGGAAACAATCAGGGGGCCTGCGGTGTGGGGGGTCTTAGGCAGGGATAACCGAGGAGGGAGGGACGGGGTGGTTGGTGGTGGTGGTGGAGGCGTTATGAGACCAGTGAGCAATGGTTTCCCAAAACAAACACAAAGCGCACATTCACCCGCGTGCGTGCGCGCTCTCGCACGCACGCGGGCGCAAATGCAGGCGCGAGCTGACGGGCCGACGATACAACGGTGATTTACGCGGTGCCCGAAACACAAGAACGCAACGCCATGGCAGCCCAGGTCGGCCGTCCCAACCCAAGTCAGCATGGCCAAAGGAGGGGACCACGAGCCAGGCCCGAGCAGCCCCTGGGTGGGTGCTGCTGCTGCTGCTGTTGTTTTTGGGTGGCCGAGGGGGTAATGAGAGAGGGTACAGATGGGAGGGTAAGGGGCCCTTAAGCTGCTACAACAACACGGCCGCGTTGGCGACCCCGACCCTGACGCCTGTATATCTGGAGTGTGTATATCCCTCTCCCTGTGGATTTTTCTCCGGGTCCTCCGGTTTTTCCCTCCACATTTAGAAACACGCGTTCAGAGTATTTGGCTGCTAGAAATTTCCACGCGATAAGCCACTTCGTTGAGCTCTCATTTGTGGTCAGGTCGCTTCTGAAAAATACGTTAATAGCTCAGTGGGCTTTACCTGGTAAAATAAAATAAAAATTGGTTTACGTTTTAATATCCGATAGCCAAACGCTCTCTTGCGTTTCACTACAGCTCCTCGTTGGCGCAAGACGCCAAAACCGGCCACTGTCTTCGATTATTCGCACACAAGGCAGACGAAAGGGACTGGGTGCGGGGGAGGAGAGGCCAGGGTTAGGGGTTCAGCTGGGTCTCTTAATTATTCACTGGGCAGATGGACGATGGGGGTGGGGTGGAATTGGCTTCCAGAGACACAAGTGGAAACTTTTAGTCCGGGGAATGCCCATCACACACGGCAGACAAAAATAGTATTTCTTCAGAAATGAATTGCCGAAGGGGCTGTTAAAACTACACAATTATGTTACCAACATCAAATGATATATTCCAGCAACAACAATAACGTACACATGACAAGAGAAACGGCAAGATGGAGTGTAAAACACAACATGAAATGCCATCACAGTAATGCCAACAAACCACAAAATAATATGCAATCACCACAATGCGAGGTATTGCAGTGCAATCGTTAACAATAAAAAAAAACGCAGATGACAAACAACAAGAAAAGTAAGCGGACTAATATCACACCGACTGCACTACCTCTTAACAACAGAAACTGATCACAATGCCGTGACACTTAGACGCTATATATATACACCCACATTGTCATTTGTTACACACCTCGATACAGTTCTGCAACAACAATAGTGATACAGGTGCAAACACGATTAGACAAAAGGTGTGTGGCTTGAGACAACACCCACCCAAGAATCATCGGACACGTTCTCCATGCCATGCAATATATCAGGGGGTTCGTTGACCATACTTCACCACGCCGATCAATGCGTGTTGGTGACGATGGGAAGCACGTACGTGGCAGCATTGATCATTATAAGAGAACAACAGAGCACAACAAATACTTTTTTGGCACCACTCTAAAACGTTAGTATATATGTTGAACTTCTTTCGCGCCATACGTTGCCAACCGTTATAGACAATACAAACAATCATTCAGTCACTAATATTACAGATACCAGTAACAAGAAATATACAGATTATGAGACGAACAACTTCCATAAACAATATCAATCGCGTAAATAGGGCACTTGCAACACACAGCCACACGCACACAGACAATACACAGATAGACAACACTCACACACACGCAGACTGCAGACACGCAATAGGTACACACACTCACAAATAAGGGCACTTGCAACAACCCATACTTCACAGACACATACACAATAAACACACACGCACGGACACACGCACAGACAATACACAGATAGACAACACTCACACATACATACATACACAGCCACACAAATAGGGCACTTGCAACACATAACCCATAACAACTAAACCAAACAGCAAATGTCAAACGAGCATTCTTGAAATTACAGGACACTCGCTGCCATACAGAAGGAGAAACACGTGGACCGGAGAACATGGCCAGGTTAATGACATCACGTTGAGTGGGCTGGAGGCAGGACACGTCGCTTGAAGTTGATGGTGGTGGCCGAGTTTAACAGAGACAGCGATTTCAGTCAGCTCGTGTGGCTGGTAGCTACATCAATTATCAAACTAAATATTTACCAGGTAAGGCCCACAAATCTATGCAGCTCTTATTCAGAAGCGACTTGATGGCTCTATTTAGTGGTTTATCGCGTGGAAAAAGTCTAGCGGCCGAATACTCTGAACGCGTGTTGTTGATTATAAATGTGGAGGGGAAAACCGGGAGGACCCGGAGTAAAATCTACGCGACCACGGGGAGAGAGACACGCAAACTCCGAATATACAGCAGGCATCGTCAGGGTCGGGGATCGAATCCACGACCTCCTGTGTACCAGGCGAGGTAGTTAACATCTCATAGCCACCGTGGCGCCCTGATGGACTGTTTTGCAACGTGAGAGATGGCTACAGCTTGAGGAGGGAGGTGTTATGAGGCCACTGGAGCACGTTTAAATCTATAATGCAAACTCATTTATTGACAAATGCTTGGTCGGGTTGCTGTGTTGTCTTTTCCCCGCACCTCCGATTAGCACGGTTGTCAACGTACGGCACACGAAAGAAGTTCAACAAGCAAACATCCAGCAGTGGATAGGTCATTACTTATATGATGATGAATTAACTAACATCCACTACCAAATATCAAGAGTCACAAACTACCAAAACAAATCTAAGACCTCAACACACACAAAAAAAAGACTTAACGGTAACAATAAGAAAAAAAACCCACTCAAGAGTTATCACCAAAACAAAATTAACCAGTTACAATAAAGAGCCACGCACGGTGCTGTATGTACGAGCTACAAGACACGCACCACGCTTGTCGGGATTACGAACCTTGGTCCCCCGGGCGGGGTTCGATTCCCGGCCACGGCTAACAACAATTAACAATCTGCAAGTGGTCCTGGGACTCTTCTCTCCCCCCAGCCCCCCACTTCACCAACACTTGCCAGCCCGCGTGTCGAAGTGACTACGTGTGGGCAAGCTGGCTCCACCAGTGCATTGACAAAGAGGCTGTCTGTGTGTACATTACGCTAGGATGGATCGTTTATGAACACGTAAATTGATCCATTAATAACACTCGCAACAAAACCACCGTTGGATACTGTCGGAGAAGAGTCGAAGACTCAAAGGACTGCCTACGACCTAACCGATAGGAAATCAATCACGGCAAATATGATACTAATTCACGCACGAATAAAATACGAACACTTTTAAAAGACAAAACATTTACGGTCGAGTATTCGCAACAAGAGACACAAGCAGAAGGTACGTCACCTCCACACAACCAGCACACAACCACCAACCATTGGCACAACAATAGACACACACGGGATATTTACACACACAACCAACACTCCCACAACAATGTCAAACACGACACGTCGAGGTAACATCAGACGGTGAAAATAACAACACTAAACAACGACAATTGAACGAGAAACAGCGAAGAGAGACGTAATTAAAGACATTACTAACACTGCGTACAGAGCCAACACCAACATCCAATGCCAATCGATAACACTACCAAAACCGACACAACTAAAACCAACCACTCACCACAACAACAACAATATAAGAAGATAATCCCGAAGAAGCCACGGCTGAAGCACAATTTAACAAGCGCGCGGCGACCTCGCGGGGCCTACGATCCGAAGCCTCGGTCTCGCCTGGTAGCCTTACCGCCTGGTGCGGCCCTAAGGTGGGGTGGTGGGTGGCGTTGGGGGGGGGGGGGCCTTACCTCCCGCCAGCTCGGCAAGCGGAGTCGCCACCACCAGCAGCAGCAGGAGTCGCAGAAGCGGCCACATCGTGGGCTCCGATCAGCACGCAGCCCGCGCCGCCGCGATCAGCATTCCCCTTTGGATCGAGGAAGGGAAAATTGGGTAGCGACACACCAAAAAAACCCCACAAATTTCTTCTTCGTCGTCGTCGTCGAAGGAGGAGGGGGGGAGATACAAAAAAATGTATCGGACGCGGAGCGAAGTTGAACCCAGCGCGACCCGCGCTACTTTCACACCCCCCGCGGTACTTCTTTTGCCGTTGCCGTATGTGCCGCGGCACAGCCCTTCCTCGGCCGCGTTACTTTAGAGGTGGAGGGATTCGCGTGGAGATGGGTGAGGGGAGGGGGGCGCGGCGGGGCGGGGCGGAGCGCGGGAGGTGGGGGGGGGTGAAGGTAGTTCCGGCTCTGGGGGTTTGGGGGCGGGACCCCAGGTGGGGAAGGGGGGAGGGGCATCATTGGAGGTGGCCACGCGCCCGGTCACGTGGATACCGTTTTTATTTAAATATATAAACACACCGGCTGGGTGCAGGCACGTCAACGTCAAACGGGCAGCAACACACGGCACCATCAAGAGTGTGGAATCGTTTCTTGTGTTGAGCTTTGGGGGGGGGGGTAAATAGACGATGTCAGAGAGAGTACCTTGGGGGAGCAGTGTAGCGGTTGAGTGTGGGGTGGATGGGTGTCACCTGGGGAGCGGTGGCGCAGCGGTTAGCGCGCTGCGCTACGAACCCCGCAACCCGAGTTCGATTCCCGCCCACGGCCAACATCGGCGACGATTATCTGAACCGGTCCCGGGCCTCCCCGAGGTCGACTCGGAGTACCTGGTGCGGTGTGTAAACATCGCCACCAGGGAGAGACAAAGGCGGCCGGGTGTGGTGCTGGCCACTCACCCCCTTGTGTGCCGTGCCGGCCTTCGTAGGTGCTGCTCCCTAACAGCACTTGCCCCAACAGTTTATTAAGGCTATACGGGGGAGCTTTGTCTTTTGAGTGAATCAGTGATCATTTGTTATTCTTACTGCAGGTGTATGCTAATTAATCATCGTCAAACCACGATCTATCCATTGGGTCATCATCTCTCACATTCCGGCGATGTTAACAATCCACTAAGCTCCACCGGTCAACGCGCTCACCCCAACAATTATTGTCTTTTTGATTTAAAGCTTTCGTGACTGCAGTAATTCATATTCTTAGCTCTTTCGGTAACGTCACGTTGAAGGGAAACAACAAAATAATAAAATATATATAAAAAAATAAAAATTCTCACGACGTTTCGACCATAACACAAACGACATAACACAAACGGTCGTCATCACGTGATGACGACCGATCAGGTGATGACGACCGTTTGTGTTATGGTCGAAACGTCGTGAGAATTTTTATTGTTTTACATATATTTTATTATTTTGTTGTTTCCCTTCAACGTGACTTTATCGAAAGAGCTAAGAATATAATTATTGTCTTGTCAAATCAGACGCTTTTGGTCTTTTCTCGCCTGTAGTTGTGGGGGTGTGGGTGTGTTCAGAACACTATACAAACTTAACTATTTTTTTATTTACCAGGTAAGGCCCACTGAGCTATGTAACTCCTTTTCCGAAGCGACTTGGCCGCAAATGATAGCTAAATGTGGTGGCTTATTATCATGTGGAAATGTATAGCAGCCAAATATTCTAAACGCACGTTTCTAAATGTGGAGGGAAAAATTGGAGGACCCGGAGGAAAAATCCACTCGACCACGGGGTAAGAGAGACACGCAAACTCCAAATATACAGCAAGCGTAAGAGTCGGGATCGAACCCACGACCTCATGTATACCAGGCGAGGTTGTTAACATCTCCTAACCACCGTGATGATGATGAGAGAGATAGACACCATAAACTCCAAATATACAGCAGGCGTAAGTGTCGGGATCGAACCCACGACCTCATGTATACCAGGCGAGGTTGTTAACATCTCCTAACCACCGTGATGATGATGAGAGAGATAGACACCACAAACTCCAAATATACAGCAGGCGTAAGTGTCGGGATCGAACCCACGACCTCATGTATACCAGGCGAGGTTGTTAACATCTCCTAACCACCGTGATGATGATGAGAGAGATAGACACCACAAACTCCAAATATACAGCAGGCGTAAGTGTCGGGATCGAACCCACGACCTCATGTATACCAGGCGAGGTTGTTAACATCTCCTAACCACCGTGATGATGATGAGAGATAGACACCACAAACTCCAAATATACAGCAGGCGTAAGAGTCGGGATCGAACCCACGACCTCATGTATACCAGGCGAGGTTGTTAACATCTCCTAACCACCGTGATGATGATGATGAGAGAGATAGACACCGCAAACTCCAAATATACAGCAGGCGTAAGTGTCGGGATCGAACCCACGACCTCATGTATACCAGGCGAGGTTGTTAACATCTCCTAACCACCGTGATGATGATGAGAGAGATAGACACCGCAAACTCCAAATATACAGCAGGCGTAAGAGTCGGGATCGAACCCACGACCTCATGTATACCAGGCGAGGTTGTTAACATCTCCTAACCACCGTGATGATGATGAGAGAGATAGACACCATAAACTCCAAATATACAGCAGGCGTAAGAGTCGGGATCGAACCCACGACCTCATGTATACCAGGCGAGGTTGTTAACATCTCCTAACCACCGTGATGATGATGAGAGAGATAGACACCGCAAACTCCAAATATACAGCAGGCGTAAGAGTCGGGATCGAACCCACGACCTCATGTATACCAGGCGAGGTTGTTAACATCTCCTAACCACCGTGATGATGATAAGAGAGATAGACACCGCAAACTCCAAATATACAGCAGGCGTAAGAGTCGGGATCGAACCCACGACCTCATGTATACCAGGCGAGGTTGTTAACATCTCCTAACCACCGTGATGATGATGAGAGAGATAGACACCGCAAACTCCAAATATACAGCAAGCGTAAGAGTCGGGATCGAACCCACGACCTCATGTATACCAGGCGAGGTTGTTAACATCTCCTAACCACCGTGATGATGATGAGAGAGATAGACACCACAAACTCCAAATATACAGCAGGCGTAAGAGTCGGGATCGAACCCACGACCTCATGTATACCAGGCGAGGTTGTTAACATCTCCTAACCACCGTGATGATGATGAGAGAGATAGACACCACAAACTCCAAATATACAGCAGGCGTAAGTGTCGGGATCGAACCCACGACCTCATGTATACCAGGCGAGGTTGTTAACATCTCCTAACCACCGTGGTGATGATGAGAGAGATAGACACCACAAACTCCAAATATACAGCAGGCGTAAGAGTCGGGATCGAACCCACGACCTCATGTATACCAGGCGAGGTTGTTAACATCTCCTAACCACCGTGATGATGATGAGAGAGATAGACACCACAAACTCCAAATATACAGCAGGCGTAAGTGTCGGGATCGAACCCACGACCTCATGTATACCAGGCGAGGTTGTTAACATCTCCTAACCACCGTGATGATGATGAGAGAGATAGACACCACAAACTCCAAATATACAGCAGGCGTAAGTGTCGGGATCGAACCCACGACCTCATGTATACCAGGCGAGGTTGTTAACATCTCCTAACCACCGTGATGATGATGAGAGAGATAGACACCACAAACTCCAAATATACAGCAGGCGTAAGAGTCGGGATCGAACCCACGACCTCCTGTATGCATCCTGCCACCGTGGCGCACTCAACTCTTGTACGTTTAGAGCTTTGCGAATTTAAGAGATGGGAGAAAGAGACTTTTTTTTTCTCAAAGGGGTTTATCATCTTCCCCTGGCTGGGTCACGTAGCGCGGTCGTGCGCTTCGCTAAACGCCACGTGGCCCTTGAGATGAGACCCGGACCCACGCGCATCATCGCGATTAGCGAGCCCTGTCACAAACACCCACTGCGTGTGGCCGCACAGCACGCTGTGAAGGACGCTGCTGCTACTGGGCAGTCGGAGGCAGTCGCCCTCCAGCAACAACGTCGGAACGGAGCGACGCTCACCACAACGAGCGGAGCACCGGACGGATAAAACGCAGCGAGTTGGCATAGTAGGGGTGCATCGGCCATTCATCTCAGTCAGTCAACCCATGGCACCTGGGTCTGTTCCGTTACTTGTACACCCCTAGCTGCCACTGCTATTCATTGGCGTAAAATAAAATGTTTCGCTCCGGATGACGCTGCAAAGTAGTATCTGTATTTTGATTTAGCGTGCTGATCTTAAAGGTGCATTGAAAAATTTGATACTCCGACCGATGCTTCTGTTGTTGTGGAGTAACTCATGCAGCCAGCTATGGCTCTAGGATTTGGTGTTACATGTTATTTATGTAGTTTATTGTAAAAATTCGGTCACAGTCCTTGTGATCACTGTTACGTTGCAATTATGGCTTTATTTTTTGGTGATTTGGAAAACATTTTTTTGGTTTGGACATGTTTGTTTTGTTGTAGTACGGAGTTAGACTGATGGCCTTAATCTAAGTTTGTGTGGTTGTTGTTGTTGTTTGACTTGCATCCCACTGGGATTTGTTGCACACAGCGTTGGTGTACGGTGCTTTTTTCAGGAATATTTTTGCTGGTTTTTTTTCCATGGATTTTCTGTCTGCACAGTCACACATAGTCACTTTAAGATGTTTTTCTTGTTCGTGTCTTTTTTTGTTTGTTGTGGTTGCACCCGATTCAAGAGCCGGATGGCTCACAGGACTATACCAAAATAAACTGAACTGAAACTGAACTGAACTTGCTGTCAGCGGGCGTTCAACACTTCACGTGGCCTTAAAGTGCACAGAGCCTGGCACAAACGCGGTGGTGACATCACCGTCACTTGGCGAACAACACCAGTGACAATCATCTGAATGGGCCCTGGGCCTTCGGTAGGTCGACCCAGTCTCAAAATAGTACCTGTTGCGGTGTATAAGCGTCGCCACTATGGAGCCAAAGGCGGCTGCGCATGGTGCTGGCCAATCACCTCTCGTGTGCCGTGGTAGCATTCATAGGTGCTCGCTAACAGGGCTTGCCCCAATAGTCTATTCAAGCTATACAGGGGATCTTTGTCTTTGTGATAATGCACGCAGCAGTTGGCCGTGTGAAGTGAAGTAGTGGGCAGTGTGAAATGAAGTAGTGGGCAGTGTCAAATAATGTCATGGGCCGTGTCAAATGATGTCGTGGGCCGCATCATACCCATGGGGGCGTCCGCTCAGCACGTTTTCAGTACGGACCTGGGAGACTTTCGCCGCGTTATTGCATTTTTTTCATTTTCAGAGGAGGAAATAAAGTGCAGATATCAGTCGGGCATCGGCATT